GATGACAGAGTCTCATCTTTGTGTCCGGCTAAGACTGAGTGCATGGCTCAGCCTAGCTCACAGCAACCTCAACTCCTGGGCTCAAGCAAATCCTTCTGCTCAGCCTCCCAAGTGGCTGGGACTACAGGCATGTGCCACATGCCCGGCTAATTTTTTTATATATATTAGTTGGCCAATTAATTTTTTCTATTATATAAGAGATGGGGTCTCGCTCTTTCTCAGCTGGTTTGAACTCCTGACCTCGAGCAATCCGCCTGCCTTGGCCTCCCAGAGTGTAGGATTACGGCGTTGACCCCATGCCTGGCTGGGATGCTTCTTTTAATGTATTCATTTGTTGCAAATAATATTTTTATTTGTTCTATTTTTAGAACAATTACCTGAGTATGTTAAATTTTTAAATTTCTTATTGTGGGCAGTGAAGTTATGATATCCAATGAAAATCCACCAAAAGACTACTTTTTATTCACGAATGAAGAGTCGCCCAACACCTAGGGCACTAGTGTTCCCGCTACTGACACAACTATAAGCTTTTGAAAGTTTGGATAGATCCGCTATATTCTCAGTTACAGGACGGTAAGTCTATATTTTCTTTAAGAATATTGTTTTCAATTTTTATTATTACAGTCAGGTTTGTGGAACTTATAGGGGTGGGAGAAAACAAAGTATTGCTGTCTCATAGCGGTGGAGAGCTTTTTAAATGGTTTGAATTGGTGAGAAAATCTATTTCGAAAAGAACATACTTTTCCAAGATGACTTTGTTACTCATTGTTCGGTGGCTCTCAGGAAATCTACGCTGCGTAGCCACGCCCATCACTAGGTCTTATTTTCGGGGTAGGGCTTATATTGCGCAAATGCTTAGAAATCCTGCTAGGGCTTATTTTATGGGTAGGTCTTATTTTGGGGGAAACATGGTAGCAGCCCCCTGCCCTTGCCTGTGAGCACCCCTTCCCCTTTTTATCTGCTCCCCACACTAGAATGGACGCTCCCTAAAAGCAATTATGTTTATTTTGTTCACTGCTCTATTTGCAATCCTAAAACAGTCCTGGCACACAGTAGGCACTAAATAAATGCTCTGGGAGTAAACTAATGAATGAAATATTTTTTGATATTAACTTATAAGGTCTGATTATTGTTTGTTGTTTCTTTAAAATTATCTCTTTCCATTATTTTAAATTTATCTTATATGTGGCTTTGTTTAGTTATAGTTTCTTTTTCATGCATGGCATTAAAAACCCAAGTGGATTCTTATATTCTGTACTAAAAACATAGAAGGCAGATGTTGACGTTGTGTTCGAGGATCCAAACAGGCCTCTTGAGTGTGATTACACACCCACACCCTTGGGCTGGCTCCCAGGAACGCGCCACCACTGGCCACAAAGTTGAAACTGCCTTTTTTCGTGGTGCCCCCTGTTGGAAGAGAAGTTGGTGGCCCTTGTGTCCTCAGACAGCCCCATTTCCCAAGGCCCAGAAAGTACTGGAGGGTAACACACTGTGGGTGATACCAGATGGACCTGCCGTTTGGAGGGATACGGAGCTATTTTTGAGCTGTGGGGCACGGCCAGTTAGTTGGGAACAGCACAGAGCCTAAAAGTAAGAGAGAGAGGGACTAGTCTCCCTTCTAACTGTCCCCCCAAATAAAATTCTTGCATGAAATAAAGGCCATTGCACCAAGATTTGGGCATAGTATTAATATTATTTCTAATGCAAATCATCACTTACTGTACATGTTGACTTTCCCCTTTAGGACGAGACTATTGAAATGTACTAGTAGAAACGTGGAATAATGTTCTTGTACTTCTGTTTTCAACATTCCCAGTATACTCTGTCAGCCAAAAGAAACACAATTCAAATGTTGGAAGAAAGCATGGTAATGAAAGAAAAGGAACTTGCAAAAGCAGAAAAAAAGCTCCAAGATGACTCAATGGCCTTTGAAGAGTTCCTTCGAGAAAATGACCAGAGATCTGTGGATGCTCTTAAAATGTTAGTTTCTTCACTCTGGCCAAATCCCTCCCCCTCCTTCTTTTCTTTTCTTTTTTCAGTTTTTCAGAACACAACACAAAACAAAACAAACTAACCAACCTCTGTCATTTTTCAGGGCAGCACAAGAAACTATGAACAAACTCCAAATGACAGCAGAGCTGAAGAAAGCGAGCATGGACCTGCAGGCTGTGAAGAGGTGAGGAGACACCATCTTCTTGAGCTCAAATTTCCATGACCCATTAAACCTATCTGTGCCTAGGAAGCCCCAGTAATTCTGATAATCCTTGGCAAGTGATGATTTCATAACTTTGAACACATATTTAAAATAAGGAACTTGCCCATCAAAGATTGTCCATGCCTTACAGTCCATAACGTGTGAATACAAAAGTGAAGAAATGAGTTGGAAAAAAAGCATACCAGTGTTAGGAATAAACAGTAAATTATTTACTAAGTGCTCCTTTTCCTTCATTCAGATACATTTTCCCCCACACTTTAACATCTCTGAAATTGGGATTCATTTTACCATCTTCTTATAGTTAGGATTGGCAGTATTTTTTATATTTATACTTACTCTAAGTAGAACCTAGTATTGCTATTAAAAACTAAGATCTGCCAGGCGTGCTGCTCTCTTGGCAGCTCCTGGGGAGGCGGAGGCAGGAGGATCACTTGCACTCAGGAGTTTCAGTCCAGCCTGGCAACATACCGAGACTCCCAAATACAATCAAGGGAATGAATTTTGTCAAATATTTTTTAAATGCACGTGCTTTCACACAGACATACCTAATCATATCTTTGTTTCTTTTGAGTAGCGAAATAGCAAAAACAGAATTCCTCCTTAACCAGTACATGAAATACGGTGTTTTTCTGCTGAGATTGTCTCCAAAGCATTGGCAAATGGAGCAGGCACTTAAAAAAACACAGGCAACACACATCCTTCCAAAACTAGTACCAAGTAAGTCACATATTTTTAATTCCAATTAAGTAAATATCCCTAACTCTACAATAATCTGCTTCAATGTTTGTTATTTATTTCAATAGTCAGAATTTTTAAGACAAAACCTGAACAAGGATTCTTACATTCTTTTTAGATATTATTAATTTGGAAACTCAGGCTAATTTCAGATATAAAGTGTCCAAGTCCATTTGGATTGCTATAGAGGAATCCCAGAGGCTGGATAATTTGTAAAGAAAAGGTTTATGTGGCTCCCAGTTCTGCAGGCTGTACAAGAAGCATGGCACCAGTGTTTGCACCTGGTGAAGGCTTCAGGCTGCGTTTACTTTTGGCCGAATGGGGAAAAGAGTGGCCTGTTCAGAGATCACATGACGAGAGAAAGGAAGCGAGAGGGGAGGGAGGGACATGCTGGCTCTTTTTAACAACCAGCTTTTGTGAGAACTCACTCATTGCTGAGAAGACTCAAACACCTGCCACTAAGCCACACCTCCAACACTTACAGTGAGGTTCGGAGGGTCCATATCCAAACTTTAAGCATTAAGCTATAAAAATATATGCATAGAGAAATATTAAATATATTATTTGCAGATGATAGGATAGCATAACTAGAACTCTCCCTCCCAAAAAACCTGAGAAACTTTTATTTTATTAAAGGATTCTTTAAAGTAAATGGACACAAAGTTAATTATACTTTATTAACCTAACCTATTAACCTAAATAAACTAACTTTATTAATTAGAAAATATGCAAGGAAATTAAATCTAAGAAAACAATAACCTTAATGTGTGTGACTTGTAGGTTTGATAAATAGAAAAATATGTCATGTTTTCAGATAGAAAGATGGATATTGTAAAGTTGCCAATTTTTTCTGAAATTAACATAAATTTTATGGAATTATAATAAAAATGTTATCAAAAATTTGTCAGGGAGTTGGGTGTTGGGTGGAGAGAACTTTGCACAATAATTCTAAGGTTCATCTAGAAAGATAAATACTTTTGAATTAAGAAGGTAATGGGAGAAGGTTACTAATCCTTTAAAATATTATATAATGTATTGTTGCAGAGTGTTAGTAATTAAAACAGTAATGTACTGGTAGCATCAGGAGGTCAGCTCAATGGACCAGCAATAGATTCTATTACCTATATTAGATAATTTAACATGACAAAAGTAGGGTGACAAATCAAAGGAGAAGATTTGCACTTCCAGAAACATTTGGGTAACAAAGACTGGACTTATCCTCCTGCCTGAAAAATCTGAAAAACTGGATTAATATATGAAACAATAGATTTTGGACATTGTACATCAAGAATGAAAGCAGAGTAATACTTAGGAGAAGGGAAATCAGTGAGGCGAGCCTCAGTTTACTGCTGGGAGAGAGTTTCCAGGCTGCAGCACAGGGATGGGGAGCCCGGGTGGAGCCCAGCTGAGAACTGCTTCTGCTACTCCAGGTAGGAACATTTACACCACAGCAATGGGCACACTATGCATCAGGGAGAATTTGTTTTCCAGAGAGCTGGTTGTTACACATTTGCCAGCACATCACTGATGGGTGCCCTGCTCAGTTCTCTGTGCCTCTCATGGTGACAAGTGTGATTAAATTAGGATATGTGTGTAAAGTGTTGAAAACAGTGATGACATTTGGTGAAAGCTCACTAAATGGTATTGAACAAGAGAGAAAACAAATGGGAGAAAGAAACTTGAGAAGTATTATATTTGCATGCAACAGCAGCTTAAGACTCCGTCCTCGTAGACTTGTCATCTAAATAGAAGATGCTCAGACATGAGTTAAGCTATGCACTCAGAGGAATGAATAGCTAATCCTGGGATTTTAGGAGCTATGGCAGGCAGGGCAGTTCTCACCTGTTCTGCCTACACCACAGACTAGCCCTTGCCATCTGCATGATAGGTTTGCTGGTTTGCAATGTCTCCATCTTGTATTTCTGTTCCTGGAAGCTTTGACAATAACTCTACCTTCACCCCAAGATGAAACTCTTATTTTCAAAAGTGGGTTTTCCCCCTCCCTCTCTCTCTGCCCCTTTATTTTCCATTTCTAGGATTCTCATCAGAATTAAATAAAAAAGACACCTTGGAGGACCCCAGGCAGACATTAGCCATTTCAGAAGACTCTTTTCACAAAAGTAGTGAAGGTAAAGTAGAGATTTGGGACTTCTGTCACAAAAATAAAACCCCAGAATGTGTACATCTCAAAGTGGAGATGGCAGACTTGGACTTACAAGTCAACCTGGGAATTAGAGGGTGGTGTCCATCCACCTCACCCTTAACCCTGGGAGCCAGGAGTTCTAGTTCTCTCTCTGACATTATTACAAATCTCAGAGAGGGGCACAGGTGGACAGGACAGGCAGAGAACCAGGGGACGAGGCCATGAACCACCCCAGCACACGTGCTGAGGGCCTTCCCCGCAGGGGCCCCTCGTTCCCCTGGCTCAGGCCTGCCTTCTGCAATCGACAGGCCATGCCCACGGCCCAGGAGAGCAGGCCAGTTACAACCAGGTGGCTGCCATTAGCTGGTGACTCAGAGAAGTAACTCTTGGGGAAAAACTGAGGTAGCTGTAACATGCCCACGATCAGCTCCAAGAACTCCTTCAACATGACCACCCTCTTAAGGTGGCATGAATCCCCTCCCTCCACTCTCCATCGTAACCGCACACCGGAGATGTGGCCCACTGAGCTGCTCTGTCTGGCTCCCGTGTTTTAACATTGTTTGGCTTGGAGAGGCCAACATTTAAATCTCAGCAGATGAAAAAAACAAGTACCCCTGTCTTCTCTTGAAAACCGCAAGATGGGAAGTCTGGGGCCAAGCTGGGGACGCTCCCATGAGAGGGGGGTGATCTCACCAGTTGCCTGGGTCCTTACTGGGCCACTTCCCGGCCTTCCCTGCATTCATTTGGGTTTGCAGCCCCCAAGACAGGCTGACTTTTGGGGATCTTTCCCCCCTTTATCCTGCTGCCAACCAGCCGATAAAGCTCAATTTGCCCACCCAGAAGTGACCCTGCTATGGCCCGATGCCCTATATGTTCTGCCAGCTGATTGAAAACACAAATTCTTTGGCTTGTGAAGCCAATTTGGATCCAGATTACTCAAGACATATCACTTTGCCTGAAGGAGAATCTGCAGTGGGTGATAGTGTCAATGTTCTCTTTGAAATCTTGAATATAGAAGTTACTTCATTTAAATAACACCCCTTAACAGTACTTTTTTATAGCATGTGTTAGGGAGCCAGATTTAAAAGCTAAGATGATAATTTAAGATGGTAGTGGGACCCATCTGCTTCCTCACCCATTTTTTTCCATCCTTCCTTCACTCACTGTCTATTTTGGGTGTCCTCAAACTTTTTAAACAGGGGGCCAGTTCACTGTCCCTCAGACCATTGGAGGGTCCGGCACACATTCCACACATGCACACTGTGGACACTAGATGAGTTGGCTGCTAAGCAGGACAGGCAGCGGTGGCAAAAACACCCGGCAGGCCGTATAAATGTCCTCGTCGGGCCGCATGTGGCCCGTAGGCCGTAGTTTGAGGACGCCTGGTCTATTTATTGGGGGCAAACGGTGTGTCAGGCACTCTTCAAGAGCTCGAGTAGACAGACAAATTAGACATATTTCTGCAGCCCAGAACTACACACGACCATGGAGTGATACAGCAGTGACAGACAGTGGGACTCTGGGGACAAAAGCCAAAAATGTGATCTCTGCCTAATGCATTTGGAAGAGTCTTTATAGACAAAGTCATACCTGAGCTGGGTTTTGAAGGAGCCTCCCAGGTGGCAGAGGGGGAGAGTGAGGCCCGCTGCAGTTTTAAGACAGAATAGCAGGAAGAGTGGTTGGAAGCCATAAAAGCACTGGTGTGAAGGCCGGGTGCGGTGGCTCATGCCTGTAATCCTAGCTCTCTGGGAGGCCGAGGCGGGCGGATTGCTCGAGGTCAGGAGTTCGAAACCAGCCTGAGCAAGAGCGAGACCCCGTCTCTACTATAAATAGAAAGAAATTAATTGGCCAACTAATATATATACAAAAAATTAGCCGGGCATGGTGGCGCATGCCTGTAGTCCCAGCCACTTGGGAGGCTGAGGCAGGAGGATTGCTTGAGCCCAGGAGTTTGAGGTTGCTGTGAGCTAGGCTGACGCCACGGCACTCACTCTAGCCTAGGCAAGAAAGCGAGACTCTGTCTCAAAAAAAAAAAAAAAAAAAGCACTGGTGTGAAGAAACATGCCCAAGGGATAGGGTTTGGGGGACAGTGGATGAAGTGACTCAAAACCAGTTTCTACCACTTCTCAGTTTCAGACCAAGGTCAAGCCCAGACCTTGACGTGGGGGGAACAAGTGCACGCAGGTACGAGGGGAACCAGTGCCAGGTGACCTGTGTGTGGCAATGATTGGTCTCTCTCCAAGATGTAGTCATTAAAGTGCCCATCCCTTTTATTTTTTCTCTTAATTCAAAACGAACTGTGACTAGAAATATATATATATGATTAGGCAAAAGTAAAACCATAATGTGTATTTCACAATTGATGTCCCCAACTTGTGACCTTTAATAGTTGTAGCCTGCTTCTGACAAAGCACCCCACCCCCACCCCAGCCACTGTGCCTTTGATTTTACATTTATGCGTGGAACCCAATTTCACTAGGATAAAAGACCTCCATTTTCTATATGATTATAATTCTAATAATAAAATAATTTAAAAAAAAAAGAAATAATGGGTATATCTGTGCAGAAAAATGAATAACTTACAGCAAGTGACAAGAACTCATTTCTAATTACATGTTATTTCTTTCCACTCCACCATCACCAATGGCATGGACTTCACCTGGATATTTTGAACAGGAAAGTCACCCAGGAGGAAGTCCATTCTCACCCCAGAGAAAATGAAATCAGCCATATCAAAGTACAGTACATACTTGATTAACTCTCTTGGAAACTGTGAATGGTTTTTAGCAAATAACTCCTTTAGCCTGTCATCGACACAGATATCATGTATCCATGCCTGTTGTAACAGATACTGGAGCGAGTGGTGACATTCCTGTGTACTCCTGAGATCTCACGGGTCTCTCTGCATTCTTTGATAAGTACCTGCAACCACTGTTTGCAGAAACTACCTGCCCTCTGCATCTTGGGTCTTTGACTCTCAGCATCCTCTACCCTTTGGTTTATTAAACTATTCTGCTAGCCTAGCTGTTTGCAATTTCACCGTGTCACTTGAAATTGCTGCAATAGGACCATAAAGTATTTTATTTTTTATTTCTCCCCTTACGGGATTGTAGATTCATTTATCCTTATTATTTCAGAATTCGCTAGTTGTCAACCCTGGCAACTCCAAGGGAATTTTAAGAAAATATGTTGATGCATGGGACAGGTACACCTGCTCAGAGGACAGGATCTGGGCTGGCACTATAATCACAACAGGATCGGAGTTCTCATGACAATCACTGAGGGAAACAGACACAGTTTTCTCTGAATTCTAGGGGCCTGCGGGTTGTTCCACTTCTGTAGCATTTAGCAGTCACTCTTTTTTTTAATTAAATGTTTATCTTGAGATCATTGTAGATTCATGTGCAGTTGTAAGAAATACACAGGGAGATCCTATGTACCCCACACAGTTTCTCCCAACGGTAACATCTTGCAAAACTGTAATACAACAGCACAACCAGGACCTTAACATTGGTATAGAACATCGCCACAGGATTCTTCATGTCCCCTTATATAGCCACACCCATTTCCCCGTTCAGCCTCACCTTAACCCCTGGATGTGGCAATGCGGGCTGCTGTGGGTTTCTTAAAAATAAACTGACCTTACTTCATAGATGCACCTCAAATAATTGGTATCATATGGTAGGGCCCTTGCGTGTGGCCTCGCTGTTCGTGTCTGCCAGCTCTGCGGGGACCGAATCTGATGTTTTTTGCATACTCAGGGCATCCGTTGATTTCTGCAATCAGCAGTTCCCTTAAAAGACGAGACAGGCTATTGAAAAGAACAGTGTTACAGTTAGGTTCCAAAGACAATTTAGAAATGAAAGCAAATCTATTGACAGAAAATGGCTCAGAAATCATTTTCCTTTTCTTTTTTCTTTTACAGCCAGGCTGAAAGTATGGGTTCAGAAGACAGTTTGGACTTATTTTCAGATGATATGGACTTTGATTTGGTAACCAGATTATATTTCTTGATTTAAATATTGGTGAAAAGTATAGCTGCTCATTTCTTCTTATGAAATTACAATTTTCTATTTCAAATATTCCACAAACTTTCCAGAAGGAAATATGATTTTGATAGTGTTCTCCAATTGGATATATAGTCCATCTTTGTCATCAGACGTTTTATGAAAAATAAATGTCTACTAGAAGGTAATAACTTAGGAGATAGATGCAATCTACAGTCTTCCTGTAAAAATAGCCACTTTCTCATTGCTTATCATTTTATTGGAGCTTGAGATGTGCTGTGTACTGAACTGTAAGTAAATAGGCCTCCAATAAAGCAGCCCTATATTGCTGTAAGATTGACTTTGAGCTAACCCCACCCTAAATACAACCGCTGAAACTCAAAAGGAACAAAAACCATCATCTATTATTGTATATTATACAACTTTACCCAAGTCACCTTTTTAAAAAATTGTGGTGACTGGGCAAGGTGGCTCATACCTGTAATCCTAGCACTCTGGGAGGCCAAGGCGGGAGGATCACTTGAGCTCAGGAGTTTGAGACCAGCCTGAGCAAGACCGAGACCCCGTCTCTACTAAAAATAGAAAAAATTAGCTGGGTGTGGTGGCATATGCCTGTAGTCCTAGCTACTTGGGAGGCCGAGGCAAGACCATTGCTTGAGCCCAGGAGTTTGAGGTTGCTGTGAGCTAGGCCGACGCCACGTGTCTCTAGACAGGGCAACAGAGTGAGACTCTGTTTCAAAAAAAAAAAAGGCCGGGCGCGGTGGCTCACGCCTGTAATCCTAGCTCTCTGGGAGGCCGAGGCGGGCGGATTGCTCAAGGTCAGGAGTTCAAAACCAGCCTGAGCAACAGCGAGACCCCGTCTCTACTATAAATAGAAAGAAATTAATTGGCCAACTGATATATATATAAAAAATTAGCCGAGCATGGTGGCGCATGCCTGTAGTCCCAGCTACTCGGGAGGCTGAGGCAGAAGGATCGCTCGAGCCCAGGAGTTTGAGGTTGCTGTGAGCTAGGCTGACGCCATGGCACTCACTCTAGCCTGGACAACAAAGTGAGACTCTGGCTCAAAAAAAAAAAAAAAAAAAATTGTGGTTAAAAAACCCCCACATAACATAAAATTTACCATCTTAACCATTTTGAGTGGGCAGTATGGTAGTGTTAACTATTTGCATATTGTTGTGGAACAGATCCGCTAGAACTTTCTTATCTTGCAAAAGTGAAACTCCACACCCTTTAAACACCACCCCCCAGCCCCCACCCCATGCATAGCCCCTCACAACCACTATTCTACTTTCTTTCCTTTTTTCGGTTTTAGATAGGGTCTCACTCTGTGTTCCCCCAAACCCCCACCCCACCCCCACCCCCAGGCTGGAGTGCAATGGGGTCAGCCTAGCTCACAGCAACCTCAAAATCCTGGGCTCAAGAGATCCTCCTGCCTCAGCCTCCCAAGCAGCTGGGACTAGAGGCGTGCACCATCATAACCAGATAATTTTTTAATTTTTTGTAGATATGGGAGGGTCTCACTATTTGCCTAGGCTGGTCTTGAACTCCTGGCCTCAAGCAATCCTCCCCCCTTGGCCTCCCAAATTGCTAGGATTACAGGCTTGAGCCACCGTACCTCGACCCACTATTCTACTGTCTGTTTCTGGGAGTTTGACTGCTTTAGACACCTCATAAGTGGAAACATGCGGTTTTTGTCTTTTTGTGACTGTCCTATTTCACCTAGCATAAGGTCCCCAAGGTTTGCATATGTTGTAGCATATGACAGGAATTCCTTTGTAAGACTGAATAATATTCCATTGTCTGTATAGACCACATTTTCTTTAGCCATTCACCTGTCCATTTAGGTTGCTTCCATGTCTTGGCTATTGCAAATAATGATGAACAGGGGTGTGCAAATACCCAAGTCATTTTTTTAAAAAATTGCTTAAAGTAATACATACTTAATCTTAAAAATTTGGAAAATATAAAATAATTAAAATGTGAGGAGATAATGACCTTCACTGAGCCTTCTGCATTCTCTTCCTTCTCTCTGCCTTTCCCTTTCACTTCTTCCTGCTCTCGCCTCCTCTTCTTCCCTATTCCCTCTTCTTTCTCTTTTCCTCATCCTCTTCTTCCATCTTTCCTTCCCCTTCCCCTCTCCAATTCCTCTCATCTGTTCCCAGCACCCAAAATGTCCTCTTCCGGAGAGCCGGCTCTCATTCGGAAAGAGGCAAGGCTCCCAGGCAATTCTCTAGCCATGTCTCCCTTGTAATCGGAACAGAATTCCTTTACTCCACTGTGTTTTCTGCATAACTCACATGCACACATGTAGCATATTTTTAAGTGAGTTATATTCTTCATTACTGATTGATTAGGACCCCGTGCTATATTTCAAAGAACCAGAAGAGTTGCTTCAAGTCCTCACAGAGCTGGAAGAGCAGAATCTTACTTTGGTCCAATATTCCCAAGATGTAGATGAAAATCTTGATGATGTAAACAAAAGAGAAAAAGTTATAAAGGATAAAATGTAAGTCATTAAAAACAAGTCAATTTATTCCATTAAGCAATTTCCAACTAGAATCTGGGTCCAGCTTATTTACAGGTGGCTCTTCCTCGTGGTCTCTCTGGATTCAGGCTGGGGGTTTTATTAATAAGAGTTTGCATTGCAGGGTGTAAAAGGTAGAAGCTACATTTACACAGAATCGATGGGCTTTAGTTTAGTTTTGTCCCTACTTTCTTTAACTTGGTCAAAATATTTTCCTAGATAGTAATAATAAAAGATAGTCTAAAAAACTAAAAATAATTCAAATGGTACCTACAGCCTTAATTTTAGTCTAGTGTAGCTTTCACGCTGTCACTTGGCTAACTCTCGTTTCCTTAATCAAATCATGCTTTGGATGATAATGCTAATATATGCATTTTTCCTGGCTGTGACTCTCAGCAAAATAATAATCTCATAATTTTTGCAATTAAATCTTGTATCATGTTAGAATGTACATATCAATATATTGGGGGTATTACAGAAAGGATTTCTGTCTGGGAAAAGTGGCTGGATTTGATGACTCACAAAATTCCTTCCTATTCTAAAATGTTATATTATCACAACTGAAAAAGTTTCGAATCACAGAGAATGGATCTTTTTATCTACTCATTATAAAAAGGTGTAAAGCCTTTTCAGATCAGTTTTCTGGGCCAGAAGATGGCAATCTTCTTAAACAATAGGTCAAAGTACATTTAACTTCAGAACAAATTAATTTTGTTCTGACAGTGTATGGTGCCCCCCTCCCCCCGCCCCGGCCCCAGTATGATTTTCTGGGACAGGGTGGGCACAAAAGGGCAGAAAGAGAAGATCTATGTCAGACTTTATCTGCAGAGGATCCTTATCAGAATCTCTAAGCCAGTGAGGTAGGAATCTCTATTTCCCTTTGGCTCTCCAGATACTCTGATGATCAGGTTTGAGAATACTGACATTCCTAGATCACACCACAACTTGGGTTCCTGACACCTCAACTCTGCTCCTCCTTGTTTGGGGGATGCAAGGGAAGTGACAAAAATAGGGGAGAGGAAGAAAATGCCTTCTGATGGAAGTTAAAAGCAGAGTTTTGTACATTTATTTTTCTCATTTTAACTTGAAAAGTTGTGGGTCTTCTGGCAATGTCTTCAAATATGCACTAATGTTAGGCTCGATAGGTATAAGATGTTGACATATGATTGGAGTTCCCAACTGATGGCTATTTCTCTAAACCACAAATTTCTGATGAGGGTCTCTTTCTTCTTTTGCAATAGAAATACCAACATAGACTTTCTTTTGGAGCACAAGGAACTGCTTAAGGCTAACTGTGAGAGAGAAGAGGAAAAAGCAGCAGAATTGGAATTAAGGTCCCGGCTATTTAGTTTTGGAGAGTTTAATTCAGATGCTCAGGTAATCTTTCTTTGCCTACAGGAATTTTCTTTTGCCTCACGATAACAATAATTTGCATTCCCTGTGTACTAAGCATTTGAATGGAGGAGTTACAGCAAACCACAGGTCCCAGTTTGATAAGGGAAGTGAAGAACCAGCTTGGCATTATCTTGCTAGCAGGTAACAGTCAATTGACACAGACAGAAAGCATTCAAATTGGCAGTGGGGTTCTCTTACAACATTGCTGTAAGTATTACAAACCATGATATTGAGGTTTTCCCCTATGAATACATTTCTTTTAGTCAGAGTGTATACATATGAAGTAGTTCACTGTCTGTGATCATTTTGGTGGTAATTCAAGAAGCAAGTAATTAACAGAGGAAGCAGTGAATCAGCACAATTAACGGTGAATCAAGACTGAATGGAAAATTTGCTCAACACTGAGCCTATAATAAATTTCAGCTTCTTTGGGCCTGCGTAGAGAAGACTCATTATCAAAGCACCAGGGACATGTGCTAGTACATTATTTACTGAGGAGTGCACCTCCCCTGGGTGGATGCAAACCCCTCGAGGTCAGGGATTGCCTTACCATTCTTAGCTCAGTTTAATGTCCCCATAAAGTGGGTGTTCAATAAATGTTTGTTGAATGAATGATTAGGTTAGTTTTCAGACCCACAACAAGCTCCATCTAACAATGGTTTCTTTGTAAAAACCTCAAATGAAATAAATACAAATTCAAAGCTAATATGTGGGGCTACTATCACATTTATGAACTTGATTTCCAAACAGAGGTAGATTTAGGGGAACTATATGAGAAAAAGATGACTGTCCTCCCCTCCCCACAGGTGGGCAGGGTTACCAAAGACAAGAGCCGTTTATGGATCCTACACACACACACATTTCCTAGGATGCTATAGCACCCTGAGTTAGCAGGGGATAGGGTTGTGCATTGCTAGAGCAAGAAGCGCGATGACAGCCACCTTTCAGTTCAGTGCTGTTTTTTTAAACTACCCCCCCCCCTTTTCTTTACTCTGGTAAAATATACATAACATAAAATTTACCATATAACCATTTTAAGTGTACAATTGAAAGGCATTAAGTACATTTGCAATGTTGTATAACTATCACCACTATTTCCAGAACTTTCTCATCTTTTCAATATAATATTTAGACTCTTAAGCATTTTTAAATGTACAATTCAGTAGTGTTCAGTACATTCATTGTTTTGCAACCATCTCCAGAACTCTTTTTCGTCTTGCAAAACTGAAACTCTTTACCCAGTGAACAATAACTCCCCATTCGTCCCTCCCCCAGCCCCTGACAACCACCACTCTACTTTCTGTCTCTATGAATTTGACTATTCTAGGTACCTGATATAAGGTACAGTGGAATTGTACAGTATTCATTCTTTGGTGTCTGGCTTATTTCACTTAGCATAATGTTTTCAAGATTCATCCATGTTGTAGCATGTATCAGAACTGCATTCCTTAAAAAGGCTGAATAATATCCCATTGTATGTATATGCTACATTTTGTTTATCCATTCATCTGTTCATCTGTTGATGGACACTTTGGTCATTTCCATCCTTCAACTTGGTTTCAAATAATTCTGAACGTGACTGACATGCAAAATGTCAGATAAATATTCACGATTGCTCTTCCCCATCTGCCCCACCCCTACCAAGCCCCTTTCATCCAAGTTTAGGGCTTTGTATTTAAAAAATGGCATTTTCAATACAGTTAGGCAACCAGATTCCTAAACAGAGAAGGTAGAATTGATCTGAAAATTACTTTTTTAAAGACTAGCCATAAAATTTTGGTCACGAGTGTAAATTTGGCATTCATGTATTATACACTCTGGGGAAATGGGGCTGATGAGTCCTAGTGTCTCCTAGAAACACAAAATGTGGGATGTGGACAGGGAGGTAGAGCAGGACAATGGGGAAGGAAGAGTATTCTTAGAATTCGCCTGCTTCTCCTCCCATGTTTGTTCGGATCTCAAAATGCAGAAAACATAATCCTTTATGAGTAAACATAGTTGTGCCCAATTTTTTAAAGTTTCTTCTTCAGCTTTATTGAAGCATATTTGACATATCTAATTTTGATATTCATAATTATCACAGTTACTTTGGAGCTACAACTGTGAAATGCATGTTTTATTCTTTTAAAAACTTTCCCACTCCCAGCTGTATTTAGTCCCCTAAACATTTTTTCCTTGATCCATTATTTTACTTTTAAAATTTTAAATTCCAGGCCTGGCGTAGTGGCTTACACCTGTAATCCTAGCACTCTGGGAGGCCAAGGCGGGTGGATCTTTTGAGCTTAGGAGTTCGAGACCAGCCTGAGCAAGAGCGAGACCCTTGTCTCTAGAAAGAAATTAGCTGGACAACTAACAATATATAGAAAAAATTAGCCAGGCATGGTGGTACATGCTTGTAGTCCCAGCTACTCAGGAGGCTGAGGCAGGAGGATTGCTTGAGCCCAGGAGTTTGAGGTTGCTGTGAGGTAGGCCAACACCCTGGCACTCTAGCCTGGGCAACAGAGTGAGACTGTTTAAAAAAAAAAATTAAATTCCAGTATAATGTACTGTTGAAAAGTGCACAAATCATAAGTGTAACCCTCAAGGAATTTCCTCAAAGCAAACATAACTTTGTACTACCCCCCAGATCTGGGAATAGATTGTTATTGGTTCCCCCCACCAAACCATCCTCATGCCCTCTTCCAGCCTTTACTGTCCCTCTTTACCACTATCCTGACTTCTCTCACCACCAATTAGCTTTCCTGGTTTTGAACTTTCTAGAAATGGAATCATGTAACATGTCTGGTTTCTTTCTCTCAACATTATGTTTGTGAGATCACCCATATTGCTTTGTGTAGCAGTTGTTGGTTCATTTTCATTGAACATGAAATGGAACATAAGCTATTCCATTGTTCAATTCACAGAATGTTTATCTCTGCTTTTATTGCTCTTTTGCATGGGAAGCTGACCAGGTTCAATTGGGAGAGTTGTGCAGTCAGCATGCAGCAGAATGTGATATGCATTAGAATTAGAATACAGAATCCTTGAGTTGGAAAGGACTTTCAGAGACAACTAGATATTAGTCCCCATTCCCTTTCCAGTTTTGATACAGGGAGTCTTACTAAATGTTGCTCTGGTCAAATCACTTCCCATTCACTGTTGAAAGGCGTCTGAATTCTCACCAGTCTTCCATAATCCTGCCCCACTGTGCTTCCTGAGGACTCCAGAGCCCCCAAAAGCCCTTGCAGCCTCCCTTGGCAGTGCTTCCTCGGAGCTGTCCCGGGCTGGGCCTGCCATCTGGTGGCAGTTCCAGGGATTGGGCTGAAACGTCCCTTCTCTCTCATCAGTAGGCTGTGCCTTGTTCTTCCTTTCTCTTAGCCCCTTTTGCCCTTGTGAAGTCCAGGCCGGGTCTTCAATCTCTCTTTCATATATGAGTTATCTTCTTTAATTTCATTCTCCTCTCCTATCTCTGGTTCTTTTTTTTTTTTTTTTTTTTGAGACAGAGTCTCGCTTTGTTGCCTAGGCTAGAGTGAGTGCTGTGGTATCAGCCTAGCTCACAGCAACCTCAAACTCCTGGCTCAAGCAATCCTTCTGCCTCAGCCTCCCAAGTAGCTGGGACTACAGGGATGCGCCACCATGCCCGGCTAATTTTTTTATACATATATATATTAGTTAGCCAATTAATTTCTTTCTATTTATAGTAGAGACGGGTCTCACTCTTGCTCAGGCTGGTTTCGAACTCCTGACCTCAGCAATCCGCCCGCCTCCGCCTCCCAGAGAGCTAGGATTACAGGCGTGAGCCACCACGCCTGGCCTATCTCCGGTTCTTAAGAAAACAATTCTTCTCATCTTTTTCTCTTCTGTTTGGTGAGGGAACTTTAAAAAAAAGAAAAAGAAAAAAAGAGAAGACATCCTAAAAAGCTACTGCCCATTCATCTCTAAAGCTCTAAGTGTTCAAGAGATTTATCAACTAGAAACCCTTCTCATATTAAAGTTTTTTCTCAAAACCAGTTTTCATTACATTTTTAAAGTATTTTTTCTGCTTTATTAGTGACTTATGTTGCAGCAGTATTGTTTTTCCACATGGAATGTACAATATTTCAGCCCCTAATGGTTACTTTTTTTCTGTTTTCTTCGAAAAAGACATGTTTCTAAAAAAGATGTGTTGTTATATAAATAGGAGACACACTAAGCGCTATGTTAGGAAGGGACAAAAGGGGATTTGTGGCAAATAGGACTTTTGGTTTTTTTCTGTTATTTTGTATTTCTCTAAGTTTTCTAAAAAGAGTGTATTTTTAACATAAATAGGAACTGTTTTAAGTGTTACATTAGAGAGAAAAAAGGGGCTTTATGCTAAATAGGACAATCAGATAGCTTGTTAAACTAGGAGGTAGGAGAGACACTGTTGGAAGTACTTTTGGTATCAGATCTTGGCTTATAATTAAGTTTGATGCTTCCGTAAGGAGTCTGTGGTTCCAGGAGGGGCTTCCCATGGCTCCAGGAGCCACATCTGTCTTGAGTGTGTCACTTGTCCTTGGCTTTATGGTGATTCTCATCTTCTTGAGCAGAAGCGGGAATCTGGGCAGAATGTTGCCCAGAAAAAGATTCACATTGCCCAGCAGTTTGTTGAGCTCCTCTTAGCTGTGAATGCCCTGCTAAGAGTGGAGAAAGAGGATGACAATTTTCTTGTGGACCCAAGACATGTTACCCACCAGCTCAAGAATATCTGCCAGCAGTAAAAATCGTGCAGTGTCGAGGTACAGGTATCAGCAAGGTTTGGCCTAAGCTTCTGTTTAGACTGGAATACTGCAGTGGCTTCCCAATAGAGAGAGTGAAAATTAAACTCCTAAAAAGGCTTACAAAGCCAGCCTGGGAATCTGTTTGCTTGCAATTTTTTTTTCTGAGAATGCATTTAGTCATTTATTCAGCAAACATTTATTAAGTGCATAGTTAATGTGCAAAGCACTGTTTTAGATGTAAGTGTAAGCATAAGCACATCCTCCAGGAGCTTACAGCCTAGATGGAGAGGTAAAACATGTATGCAAATACTATCACACAGGATGATTATAGTTTACAATAGAGTAATACATGCAAAAAAAGGAGGGTCACATATCATGCCAAAAGGAAATGCATCAGAATGGCAAAAAAGGGTTTATATGTTTATGTTGCCTCTACTTGAATGCTGAAGAGAATCAAATATACAAAAACATTCAAGCAAAAAGATATTCCATCTTATAATTACTTTTTATACCTAGACCTAAATATATTAAAAAAAAAATCCAAAGTGTTACTATAGTAATGATCTGACTATATGAAATAGAGTAAATATCACTGCTGCATTTTCTTACTGGTCATTTTCTATGTCATATTAAAGCTTTTCTTTTAAAAAAGGATAAACAGTAGCATATAAAGGTCTTTTCATTGTACTATAGTAAAATGGAATTTTACACTTATTGAATAAGCAACCAAATAGTGATGTGTTTTCTGCTCTTGTCTTCTTATACTCAGGAAAAACTGATAGATTCACTTAGTAAAAAAATTAATCAAGTGTACAAAGTCTGCATTGGAGATAGTGAGGTTGGCAGCCTTACCGCAGTTCAAAAGCTGGTAAAAGTAGAGTCTCGTCTGGGGGAACTGAGTGACCTCATTGAAGGCATTCCCAAAGACAGCATGGAGGCAATTGAGAGAATTAAACAGAAAGAACGGCGGCAAAGGTACATCTTATAATATAAATATAGTGAATTACTTAATGAGCAGCTATTTTTGTGTGGATTCCACAAATTTTTAGCACGTCTCTCTTGTATGGCGAGGACTGGCAAATAGGGATGCAGTGGGAAGAAGCCAAACCCAGACCTGCGTTCTTCCTAGAGCTGTTATTTAGTGTGGGAGACACATTCATCAAATATTCTTATTAAATGTCATTACCAATTGTAATGAGCACTGTGAAGGAAAGGACTGAGTGAAAGAGAGTTCACCAGAGGCAAGTGACCTAGTTTGGGATGGTGAGAAGGCCCTTTTAGCCTGGAAAAGCAAATCTTGAGGGTGAACACACAAATCATATGCAAATTTTTGAAGAGCTATCATGTAGAAAGAGAATTATACTTGTGGTGAATGACCCAAGGCATAGAATTAGGAGCCCTACATTGGAAAACTACAGGGAGACTCAATTTATGAAGGAATTGTTTGAAAGAGCCACACAACAAGGTTTTCCTCTGTGCACAACTGCCAAAACTTACACAGCATTTATAAATTTATTCCTCAAAATAATCTCACAAGGATTATCATCTCTGAAACACCCCCACCCTCCATATCTTTGCATAGTTTAGGGCCTTTCAGACTAGGTCAGGCACAAGTTCAGGGTATCATTGCCATAAGCTGAGGCCTTTCAGAATGCACTGATTTACAAATTTCCACACCAAATTAAATAAGAATTATGCACATACAGTTGTCCCTCTGCAGAGGATTAGTTCCAGGACCCCCAAGGATACCAAAATCTTCAGATACTCAAGTCTTGTATATAAAATGGCACATTCGCATATAACCTACCCTGTATACTTCATCTCTAGATAACTTATACTTAATACCATGTACATGCTAAATAGCTACTGTTCTGTATTTTTAAAATTTGTATTTTTTATTGTTTTTTTCCCCAAATATTTTCAACCTGCACTTGTTTGAATCCCGACATGTGCGACTGTGGGTACAGAGGGCCAATTGTACTAGTTTGAGACAATGATTATAAATATAACATGACCCCTAGCACAATGTGGCACATAGGAAATGTTTACAAGTGGGATAATGTTTATGTAATAGCAAACAACACCTCGGGAGGCAGACTAGTACTATGGCTACCAGCATGGGCATGAAACTGTGCCTAAGTGGGTTCAATTCAGGTCCACCTATTTATGACTTTGAGACCTGCCTGAGGAACCTAGCAAGATCTCATCTCTATTTAAAAAAAATAACAATAATTTTTAAAAAGCCAGGCATGGTAGTACATGCCTGAAGTTGCAGCTACTCAGGAGGCTGAGGCAGGAGGATCTCTTGAGCTCAGGAGTTCGAGGCTGCTGTGATATGATTGGGCCACTTCTCCCTAACTTGGGTGACAGAGCAAGACTCTCTCTAAAAAAAAATTCTAAAGGACATTACTGCTTCCGTAAAATGACCTCAGTATGGCTGATTAGACTAACACTTGCATTTTTTACAGTAGCAAACATATTCTCATCAAAGTGTAATTGCAACTTATTTTCAGTAGTGATACACAAATGTAATTCTAATTATATCCATTCTTATTAAAAAGAGAATTTTAGTTGATTTTCCCCATGGTTTGGAGGCACCTAACATAGCAGCCAATTTTGCATAAAAAGTGCTCAGTAAATATTATTTCCATCCCCTAGTATATAACCTGAGACTTACGATATAATTACATAGGCCCATAAAATAGCTATCACTTACTGAGTACCTATTCCTCACCATCTTCTACTAGATAGGCTGCATAGCTTATCTCATTTAATTTTTCCCTCATAAAGGAAAGAGAAAATAAGACAAATAGCATTTCTTGCTCTTGAAAACATTGTTCAAAAAGATTAACTAGAAAGTACACTTTTGTGGCAATTCATTGAGCTATATTGTGATTTGTGTACTTTTCTGTAATGTATGCCACACTTTAATGGTGAAACAAAATTTCTTCTGATTTCAAAACTTTGTTGTTGAGATTTACCTATTTAAAAGCTGTTGTTAGGAAGTGTCATTTTCATTTAACTGTAAAGGTCTTATATTTAGATAGTTCATTATCAAACAGTAATAACATAGATCCTTTATACTTTCTATGGTTTGTAAGAATTTTCTTCCCTCTTGTGACAGGTTGCGTGATGAGAAAATGAGAGAAAAACTAAGACACCAGGAGGAAAGGCTAAAAGCTGCTCTGGAAAGGGCAGTATCACAACCAAAGAAAAAGGTTTGTGTTTTGCTATTAGTATCAATAGATCCAGACATATCAGTATGTGAGTTTCTCTGTGGTGCAAAACAAATACCTTATTTTTCTAACTTACCCAGTTTAAATTTCAGTAAAATAATCTTTCTCACTCACAGCTTCAATTGGTTTTCTTTGGTTCCTTGATACTTTCAGAATAATTCCAATTACTGGGCCTAAAGTTCTCAATTAGATCCATTTTTTAGTAAAAGAAGCCGCTTCCCTCTCCTTTTTTCTTTAGCCCTAGGTTCAAAAAAATCAGAGAATTTTTTAAGAGTTTTTTTGAATAGGCTATACAAGCATATGGTTCAAAGCTAAAAAGACACAAATACTCAGTGAAGTCCATCTTCTTCAGTTCCCCTCCCTGGAGGCAACCACTGTTAACGGTATCATCTGCATCCTCCTGGAAATATTCTATGTATTTGTATATTTATTCTTTTTCTTTACAAATAGTAGCTATGAAGCTTGCTTCTTTAAATCAATGGTTTAGAGATAGTAAATCCAGGGAATTACATAAACCTGGAAAGGCCTTCTAATTCCCATTTTGTAAAGGCAATGAGATTGATAGTTGATGTTAAAATGATTTGCCAAGAGTCACTTCTAATTTAGCAGCAGAATCAAGACCAGAAGCCAAGGTTCTTTATATTGCAAGATTACCTGTCCAATCAGAAGTTTGGGACTTGGCAGTCGCTGAGTCCATGTGGCCATTACTTCCACACAGGATAAAGGAGGGCCTGTATTTTTTATTTATTATTTATTTCAGCATATTATGGGGGTACAAATGCTTAGGTTGCATATATTGCCCTTGCTCCCCTTCCCCCTCAGTGAGAACTTCAGGTGTGTCCATCCCCCAGGTGGTGTGCATCACACTCATTATGTATGTATACACCCATCCCCTCCCCTCCACCTGCCCGATACACGATAAATGTTATTCCTGTATGTCCACTTAGGTGTTGATCAGCTAATACCAATTTGCTGGTGAGTACATGTGGTGCTTGTTTTTCCATTCTTGGGATACTTCACTTAGTAGAATGGGTTCCAGCTCTATCCAGGAAAATAAAGGAGGGCCTTTAGTTTCTATATGCCACTCTCCTTCTTTGGGGTAGGGTCTGAAATATATTCCAGGGAGACAATCTCATGGTTACCTGCAAAGCTTATGTGGACATTGATTCTTACCATAATAACAGCTGACACATAGTAAGTGCTTATTACTATGTACTTTACAACCAGTCTCTTAAAGAACTTGAAAAAACTTCTAAAGTGTAACTGCTAATATGTACCAAGTCAAAAAGTGATTACCTTAAGGTATTTTATTTAAATAAGTATTTTACCTTAAAAGGAATCTGTATTTATCTAGTTCAGTTCTGCCTTTGAAGACTTTCCTCACCTATCCTCTCCCCCTAAGGGAGAATTAACCATTCATCAACCCACCAAACTGAAATTATTTTTTAGTAAACTCATCTTTTTGTTGCCCACGCTAGAGTGAGTGCCATGGCGTCAGCCTGGCTCACAGCCACCTCAAACTCCTGGGCTCAAGCAATCCTGCTGCCTCAGCCTCCCAAGTAACTGGGACTACAGGCATGTGCCACCATGCCCAGCTAATTTTTTATATATATTTTAGTTGGCCAATTAATTTCTTTCTATTTTTTTATAGTAGAGACGGGGTCTCACTCTTGCTCAGGCTTGTTTTGAACTCCTGACCTTGAACAATCCTCCTGCCTCGGCCTCCCAGACTGCTAGGATTATAGGCATGAGCCACCGCGCCAGCTGGTTATAAATTTTATGACCTTTGTATCCCCAATGCCTGGCATATCAGTGGCTACTGAATAAATGCTTATTAACAGACTAAAAATGAGCATAAAAATTAAAACTGGAAAAAAATGGTTATCTGATAAATCAACAATATACAATGACCTCTGCTTTGTTTACTCAGGACACTTCATCATTGCTAATTTTCAGACAGTATTAAAAAGGTTACCAAAGATCTTTACGGTTAAAAATTCTGACATTAGGGGCACGGTGGCTCACGCCTATAATCCTAGCACTCTGGGAGGCTGAGATGGGAGTATCACTTGAGCTGAAGTGTTTCAGACCAGCCTAAGAGTGAGATCCCAACTCTACTAAAAATAGAAAAATTAGCTGGGTATGCTGGCACACGCCTACTGTAGTCCCAACCATGCCGGAGGCTGAGGCAGAAGGATCCGTTCAGGAATTTGAGATTGCTGTGAGCTAGGCTGACAGAGCAAGACTCTGTCTCAAAAAAAAAAAATTCTGACATTAGAAAAGGAATTCAGGTACTCCAGTTCCCCCAGGACACTTTTGTTGTTAAATGAAGGGGAAGGTGCTATTGTTATTTATATTCTCTTAAGGCCAGGAATGTTAAGAAGCCTGCAATGCAAGGCACAGTCTTAAATGAGAAGTGTCCTGTCTAAAACATCAATATTGTCCCTTTCAAGACGAGTGGAGATGTCCTATCAAATCTCATGTCTAACAGTATGTAGTTTCCTCATCTATACATTTAATTTTTACAAAAATTCAGCTATAAAAGCAAACAAAAACAAGGAGGGTAGGAAATCCCAAAACAAAAAGGAAAAAAAAAAAGTAGTGATATATTTGAGTATATATGCCCCAGAGAAAATAAATACGTGTGAACTCGGAATTTCCCTAAATCTCTCCTGGTGGGAACACCTCCAAGAGCCAACAGTAATACTAATGTTAAGAAGACAGTAAAGTTTTCTGATGTTTTCATTTAACAAGATTTCTCAATGCAACTGGCTATGGGACTAAGAAATGAAATGCTGTCCTCCAACATGGTGCTTTTCTAGGCTGACCACATTTGAACCATATGCTATTTGATGACCTTACCTAAATCTCCCCACTTTGCCATAAAACCTAACTGCTTTCTTCTACAGACTATGAGTGTACAAATTTGCCTAGCATGTTAGACATCCATTGGGTTATCAAAACCTTTTAACTGTGACTACTTAGTATTTTAAGCCATATTATTCCTTGTAAAAATCAAGTTAATATTGATATTTCACATAGTTCAATAGAAAATGGTTAAGCTCGAGAATATTAAGTATTTTGTTTTTCTTTTGTTTCAGTTGGGAAGACGACTTGTCTATCGTTCAGTACCTCCATCTGATAACAAACACAAACTAATTTTAGTCAGTGACACAAGAGCAAAAACACAAGAGGAAGAATATTTTTTTACTTGAGAAGGAGCAGTAAGACATTCATTGCCAGAATGCTTTAGGTATATTTTGTTGATTTTGGCTTTCAGTAATGGCAACATTCTGCCCCATATTCTGCCTAATCAATTTGAGGAAGACAGGCCCTTATTCTAAGGGCTACAGGATTGAGTTATTTTCTATTGTTGAAACCTTTCAGTATTTATATCGTAAAAGTATTACTCTATATAGCTAAACATTTATATCTACACTTTGAGTTGTACCAGTTGGGGATACAAATCCAAAGATAGTTTATTGATAAAACTATATGATAAATGGCCACTGAAGTTAATAATGGCCATTTTCTGACAACATGAGGATTTAAATGATATATTTTTTCAATCCTTTTACAGGGAAGTTCATAGCATTTGGTTATCACTATGGAATACACATTTTAACAATGTACAACTCTAAAATATCCAAGGGATTTTAAACTTAAGTGAAAACCACTAGATTATGGTCTAGAACATAACTTTGAAACTGGTTTTTATTTCACATTAAGTTCTCTTCAGAAAAATTCTGAACAAACTATATGTATGCCGTCAACCTAAACGTCAGTCCACAATTTCGGTTGTACCCTGTCTCCACAATCATTTTAATTTACAGATGATGTATCAATTTTAGCTATAATATGTACATTTAGCTTATATCGATATAGAACATGTAATTTATTTACTAAGTAGAATAATACAGTATATATTAATACTAAGAGAATGTTTAACTTTACACATGTAAAGAGTGGCTCAAAAATAACTTTAAAAGAAAAAGTTGTTTTTAAAAGGTCTCAGTTAATATATAATTACAAGAAAAGGTCTAAAATCCATCTTCATACAAGTTTATAAAGCATATAATTCTTCTTCACAGAAAAAAACAGTATTGGGCTTATAAAAGAAAGCCAACTTAAGTAAAGTTGGGTGACTTTTAATAAATTAATTCTGCGAATAATCTCAGTTGTTTCAACATTTGAGCTTCAAACATAATATCTGAATATGAACAGTTCACAAGTCAAGTTGAAAAACAAACAAACCTTTATTGTCTAGAAATATATATATAAAAAAAAACACCCAGAAAAGATGCTATTCTCTCATTTCCCCATCTTCTTCCTCTTCTTCAACACCTCTGATATAAAGGACATTATTACACCTGCAAACAGAAAAACAGTCCATTTTGTTGTTCCAACCAAAAACTACGTGTGATCTGAATTACTATTACTAGATTTTTTCCATAATGAAAGTACTGAATGCTGAATTTACAACATATCATTCTTTCTCTTTTTAAAGAGTTGCACGTGGCACTTATTTTTCACCATATGAAATGACATCTTTATGAGTTTCCAAAGGAAATAATTACTAGAATTTGGAGGTTTGAAGTTAATATAGAAAATAGGTATAACAGGAATCCTTAATAGCAGGCAGTCCCAACTAAAATTTAAAACTAAACTCCTGCGATTAAAGCCACTGAAAAAGGTTACAGCTAAGAGCCAGAAAATGTAATATCAACACCAGAAAAATCTTAAGGATGAACAGCTCTAAAATATTTAAACCTTACCTTTGACAAGTCTAATAATTCCAAAGACTTCTAAAATCTAGTTGTAAAGTATTGTGTTAAATTAATAGTGATTTTTTAAAAAAGTAATTCCAAAATTATACTAATTTATTTAAACAAGTATTTCTAATGCTGTAATTCCTTACATATATTACTGCTGTTTGTTACCTTATTAAAACTTCACCCAGATGTCCAGACAATGCCCCATCTATGTATTCTTCTGTATTTGCAAGCTTTCAATAAAAAGAAATATGTTAGTATAATATCACACAGGAGGAAAATAGTACAACATACCTAACACTGGTGAGAGAACTTATTAACTGAGACCTTTTTATACCAGTAACTCAAATTTATCTGTAAGTAATAATTAGATTAGCTTTCTATTACTATTGTAGTACTTTGTGGTTTCACATAAACATTCAGTAAAATTAATATTCAAGGGTGTCAAACTAATGTATAATAAAGCTTATTTCAATCTAAGTTTCTAAATCTCCCAGGTTGTATTTCTTTCTATTAGATATCAGGACAGTATGTGGAGGCAGGCAGTCTCCAATTTACAAATAAGTTGTGATTAAAAAGCTTTCTGATAACTCAGTTCTAAAGAACCAGACATTAACTTTTCTCAGAATAACAACATGAAATGTCATATTGAGGTATTCAAATGGGAGTACAAAAGCTATGGCTAAAATACAAAATACTTTTATATTAGTCAACCAAAGCAAAAAATTGAATATGAATTTTTAAAAAAAATGTATGTGCTAGTAAACAGAAAAAAACAAATTCTTAAGAGGAGGTTAAACAGTTAATTGGGACCTTTGTAGTTATTTCAGGGAACTCTATTATTCCTAACCTTACATCAAATGTTTGTTTCCTTCGACACATAGATAATAACTTTACATGTGATTTTTAAAAATCACAATCATTGCCATCTGGGACTTACAAAAGGAATAAAGGAATGAAGAGGAGAGAAGGGAGAGGGGGCAGTTTCTGTCATAACTAGGCAAGTGGAAAAGGGAAAGAAAAATAGGGCTTAAAGAGGATGTGACATAATGTATTTAAAACATGTTAACGCATACTATTACAGAATGTTATTCCTTCTCCTGCAGAATAGAAAAATAACCTCTATTATGCAGAGGATATGGTTTTTGTCTGAAATATATGTGGTTGGTCAGACAATTAGTTTGCATATAACAGCTATCAGAAATAATTATTAGGCCTGTTGCAGTGGTTCATGCCACTTTGGTAGGCTGAGGTAAAAGGATCATTTGAGCCAGCAGTTCAAGACCAGCCTGGGCACTATAGCAAGACCCTCTCTCTACATAAAATAGAAAAATTAGCCGGGTGTGGTGACACACACCTGTAATCCCAGCCACTCTGGAGGCTGAGGCAAGAGGATTGCTTGAGCCCAGGAGTTATAGAGGTTATTGTGAGCTATGATCATATCACTGTACCTCAGACTTGGCAACAGAATGAGACCATCTCTCCAAAAAGAAAAAAAAGAGAGAGAGAGAGAAATAATGTATTAAGGGCAACTAATTTTTAAAAAGTAATTATTTTTGGCATGTTCACCAACACTTAACTGGTTTCTAAATCATACAATAATGTTCCAAAGGCTTTCTACCATGTATTAAATCCAAAGTCCTCACCATCACTTAAAAGGCTCTCCATGGCTATCATTCCAACATAACTTCCCTTATTCACTCTGCTGTGGCCTTTTTGCTGTGCCTTTAACACACCAAGCATGCTTCTGCCACAGTGCCTTTGTACTTGCTATTCCCTAAAATCAGGATGCTCTTTCAACAGATACTTGAGTTGCTCACTAATTCTGGTCTCTGCTTAAATTCACTTTCTCAGAGAGGCTATCTAATAATGTACATACTGTCACTCTATTCCCTTTTTCTGCTTTCTTTTTCTTCATAGCATCTATCATACCCAATATCAAATTATGTTACCATTTCCCACCAGTAAAACATAAACTCTTGAGGGCAGGGACTTTGTTTTGTTCATTGCTATATTCACAGTGCCAGGTACACAATAGGTACCCATTAAGTATCTGATGAGTGAACAAACTCAAAAGCTGCTATCAATGTGGTTATTTACTCAAAGTGGTTTACTCAGAGATATATAATATTTTGTTTTGTAACTCTAGCAAGCTCACCAGCAAGGTAAATTAATTCTAAAACCAAATAAAATGATTATTCTTTATCCTTTTTTAATGGAGATGTCATGTCCATAGCATAAAATTCATTCTTTTAAAATGTCCATTTCGGTGGTTTTTAGTATATTCCAAAGTTGTGCAACTATCATCACTAACTCAGAGCATTTTCATCACACTGGATACATTTTTCAGATTTTTTTCATGGTCTTGGTAAATGATTGCTGTTTGGGGGATTTTCTAGACCAAAACCCTGCTCTGTAAGAATTTTGGGGACCTTAGTGTCATCTGTTCAGGTGGTAAATACTTAAGGAAAATCTTAGCTTTCTCCTTACCAGAGTACTCCTGTTAGTATTCTGCATACAAGTATGAAGTGCTGGTTCATGGTTGGATTGAGCACCTGACAAGATAACCTTTAAAAACCTGGCTGGAAACTACTACCACTAAACAATAAAAAACCAAACAACTCCATTTAAAAAATGGGCAAAAGACATGAACAAGCATTTCTCCAAAGAAGATAAAATTAAACACAAAATTACAGTAATTCCACTTCTGGGTATATACCCAAAAAAGCTTGAAAGCAGGGACTCAAACATATTCATAGTAGTATTCACAGTACATCCACATTCACAGTAGCATTATTTACAAATGGCCAAAAGGTGGAGCAACCCACTATCCATCAAGAGGTAAATAGATTCAAATATGGTATACCCACACAATGGAATATTAGTCATAAAAAGGAATGAAATTCTGACACATACTACCACACAGATGAATCCTGAATACATAATGCTAAGCAAAACAGACCAGACATAAAAGGATAAATGTTTCACAATTCTACTTATATAAGGGTGCTATGAGTAGTCAAATTCACAGAGAGAGTACAACAGTGGTTACCCAAGGTTGAGGGGAGGAAGGAATAGAAAATTATTATTTAATGGGAATAGAATTTCACTTTTAGATGATGAAAAAGTTCTGGAAATGGATACCAGTGATAGCTGCATAACAACGTGAATGTACTCAATGCCACAAATTATACACTTGAAAATGGTTGAAGTTGCAAATTTTTAATGTATATTTTACTACAATAAAAAAATAACAAGAAAAAACCTGGCTGAATCATTTAGAAAAAGTAGTTTGACATGTAGTCAGTTCATTTCCTTTGGCTGATCTGTCTTCCTACCAAAGGAATGCATTTATATTGCATTACCTTGGTGTGGTGTGCCTTCAGCATTCACTAAAAGGCTTAAGAATTTCATTTGAAAGATTTCTTTCAGAGCTAAATGCTGGGAAGTTTTGTTTTCTCCAGCAAATTAGTGTTTCCCTCTGGTATTATGAATCAAGTATCTGAGGTCTTACTTTAACCACTAGGAATAAAATCTTGTTGAATTTTGGTTTAGGCCCATGTCTTATACCTAGCATATCACAGTTATAACATCCTCCCTGATCTTGACTTTATTTTTGAATTTTGTTTTATGTTTGTCAATTTAATTATATGTATTAGTCACGCTAAACCTTGAAGGATAAAGTGAAGCAAAACAAATACAATGTTATGAACTTTATAACTCTTTAGCTTACCTGCATGTTCATATAGCCATCTACAGACACCAGGTAGCCCTTGTATTCCATTCCCCACTTAAGTTTCACCATCACTGGCTTTCCTGTTAATCCATTGAGGAAAGGTTTGGGATTGAGGGGTAAACTCTGCACAAAGAACAAAAAAAAGATCCAATGAATTATTTTTCCTTAGCCTGGCTTCTATCACCCACTTTCCTCTACTAAACCGCCAATCAATATTTTACAGTGTCTAAATGAAGCAAACTCTTGATTCTATATCACTTTACTACATAATTTTCACTTCTGTTTATTAAAGGGCATGAGGGAAATTTAAATATCCAGTTTCACCTCTAACCCATTGAAACAAAATATTCATTATTCATTTAAGAAACACTGAATACCTATGCCATGCACTGTTCCAAGTTCTAAAGAAACAAAGGCAAAGGTACCAAAAACAAACAAACAAAATGCAATGACAGAGTCCCTGTCAAGAAGCTAGGGGGGAGGGAGACATACAAATATAGAATTGTATATTGTAATGTAATAAGAGGAGATATGCTATGCTTAAATATACCAAACCAATCCAAGGAAAAAATGGAAAGGTTGTCTGAAACAATACCTCAGTTTTAAAGAATGAGAGCTTACTTCCAGAGGGGAAAAAGGCTGTTCCAGGCAACAGTGGCTACCTATGTAAAAGGAGGGAAGAGTGATGCAACAAGGTGACCTTAGGGACATGCAAACAATTCAGTATTGTCAGTCAGAGTCCCAATTATGAAGCTACAAAAGGAAGCAGGGGGCAGGTCTCACCTGACAGTCTTTCACTTTAATTCTGTCAGCTAGGAGTAGGTTTTATCTGACTTCGTGCCACTAGCACTTGCCTCTTACTTAAAACAATCACTTAATATTTATTTATTCAACAAACCAGTAGTACCTCCAGTAAATTCACCCCTCCATCTGCTCACCTGTCATCCCAAAGAAAAGGACCAAGAAACTTGGCTAATAAACCCCTCCAAGATAAGCAGACTCTAGAGTAATCTTAAAGGTCATGGGAACTACTGCAATTACCTAATGGGTCTCCAATTTTCACTCTCTCAACTTATATTATCCATGCAACCATCATTTCTTTACAGTAAATCATGTCATTATGTCTGCTTAAAACGTTTCAATGGCTTCCAGTTCCACTTGGAGTAGAATCCAAACCTCCCAATAGGGCCTAAGAGGTCCTGCCTGATGCCTGCTCCTCCTACCCTATCTCATAACCACTATTCTTGCAAGTGGCTGTAGCTTTCTGCCAATTCCTCCAACTGGCCAAGCTTTCTTTCCGGCCGAAGGCCTTATGCTCCTCTTCCCAGTGTTCGGTATATTCTTCCTCCTGTTCTTTAAGTGGCCACATTTCACGTCACTTAGCCTAAGAGGACATCTCCGACCAAGACTCTAATGTACAAACGGGCGCTCCCACAGCATCCTGTCTGCTTCCTTCTTACCACTTATCATCATTTGCAATTGCGTATTTACTATTGTTTGAGCTTACTTCCAGAGGGGAAAAAGGCTGTTCCAGGCAAGAGTGACTACCTATGTAAAAAGACGAAAGAGTGATGCAACAAGGCGATCTTAGGGACACCTCCCACACCCGACGGAGTTATCCGAAGCATGGATGCATGATCAGTGCTTTCATGGAATGAAAGCGGGTTTTAGAGTGTAAAAAGTGGGAAGTGAAAACTGCCTTCAGCTTTACCTCCACCAACAAGAATACCTTGGCCAGGATGCAAACGAAGAGAGAGGAGGAGGCAGGGGCACTGGAAGGAGCGCGCGCCTGAGAACTCGCAGAGCAGGGAGAAAGGGGCCGGCGACCGGGTGTGCGGCGCCACACGCGGATCAATGGGAAACGCGCGAAGCAGCCAGCAGGCCCGGCCGGCGAAACTGGTCGCTCTCCCTTCCTCTTTTTCTCTCTCCCTCCCCCACTCTCCGGCCATTCCATTTCTCCTTACCATCGTAACTACGGGCGAATGCTGCAGGCTACTTGCCGCCAACCAAGCTGCAGCCTGTCCCTCGTGACTGCAGGAGGTACTGTAGCAGGTCCCGAACCGCTGAGCTTAAAAGAAATGGCCGCCAAACAGCAGTATAACCTTTCACCTCCCACCACTGCTCTCTTGGCTTCTGTGATTGGACACAAAGAGATCCGTGCTGATTGGGGGAGATGGCCGTGTTTCCGGGCAACCAGAGGCCTGGCGTGCGTCTGTTACTGGCCCGTGGCGCTCGGGCCTGTGGGAAACCTTCCGCAACTCAGCTCCGGGGGACTATGGCTGCCGGGCTGCAAAGGCCCGGAGGCCGGGCTCGGATTTCTAGTTTGCTCTGGTGCCTCAAGGGGCGTCCTAGAGGCCGTGTACCCTTAGGGCCGACGTGACTTCACGTCAGCCTGGCTAACGGGGGGTTGCTTTATCCTCTTATACCAGTGAGAACAAGTTCGGGGCTCTAGAGTTTCTTCCTCACTCTTCGTAGGTTCTGTGATTTGGAGGCGCTTCTGCCACGGCTCCCTTCTACCTGGGTGTTCTCTATTAAGTAACGCCCATTTCAACCCTTTTTAAGCCCTGGCTTGCTACTCCTTGGGAGGAAAGAGACTAGATAGACTAGGAGGGGTGAAACGCACCGGAGAGAGTCAGCGACAGGGTTTATTTCAGTGATCGGCTCCCTGTCGGTCTGTCTCTTTTGCATTGCCGGGAGATCCGGCGCGGTCTTTTTGCATGAATGTGTCATTAAGGACGTAAGGAATATTTACGCTATCACGGATTAATTCTTCGGATGTAACGGTATCAATCAGAATCTCACTGGGGTTTTTCCCCGTAAACTCAACGTTTGGCTCGCTTTGATTTGAACTGCTAAGTGCGGTTCTTGGAGATACACGCTCTGGGGAGACTGCTTGCCCCGCCCCGCCCCGCCGCAGCCCAGCCGTTAGGAGAAGAGTTTGGACTCGAGCATGAGCTCTTGCGTGTTGCGGCTGAGGGAGAGCGTAAGACTTGGGAGGTAGCCTGAGGTCAGAACCTCCATCCATCACGCGGGGATGATGCTGGGCAGTGTCTTAATGCCCTAGGGCCATTGTTTCCTCGGCTGTAACAAGGCTTTAAAAACAGTAGCATCCTCAAGGTTGTCCTGAGCATCACATAATTAATGTAAAAGCGGTTAAAACTGCGCTTGGCCTTGTAAGGGGCTCAGCAGATGCTAACTGTTATTTGATATTGTCCGCGTGAATGTTGGAAAAACTAACAAGACAGTAATTTCTAGTGTAGTTTTTACCTAACAGTTGTTGGGATTATTTACCCCAACGTCCAGTGGATTTTTCTCTTAGTTTGACGATCATTTCGTGAATCTTTAGCCTTTGTACAGACTTTTGAGTTCCTACTGTGTGTGGAGCTCTTTCACAATACTGGCCGGCAGTCTTACCAAATGGTCTGATTTAGGGTTACAGCCCCATTTTAGAGACGAGGAAGCAGGCCCAGCAGGTAACTTGCCCAGGGTTACAGGGCTGGGTGTCAACCGCAAAACTTTGCTTTTTCTACTTCCTAAAGCTACCTTTCAAAAAGCTCAGTACCTACTTTATAAGTGTGACTTTTATCTTTTAGCTGTTTGATCAATGAAGCAAAACAAAATACCGCAGTAATCTACATAAAAATAGTTGTGTTTAAAGTTGGTTTTTCTCTTCATGTTAAATATTAATCTTAAATACCTTATTAAAATTAAGTGAGCAGGCCGGGCGCGGTGGCTCACGCCTGTAATCCTGGCACTCTGGGAGGCCGAGGCCGGTGGATTGCTCAAGGTCAGGAGTTCGAAACCAGCCTGAGCAAGAGCGAGACCCCCGTCTCTACTATAAATAGAAAGAAATTAATTGGCCAACTAATATATATAGAAAAAATTAGCTGGGTATGGTGGCACATGCCTGTAGTCCCAGCTACTTGGGAGGCTGAGGCAGCAGGATTGCTTGAGCCCAGGAGTTTGAGGTTGCTGTGAGCGATGCTGACGCCATGGCACTCACTCTAGCCTGGGCAACAAAGTGAGACTCTGTCTCAAAAAAAAAAAAAAAAAAAAAAAAATTAAGTGAGCATAGGTCATTGGTGTTTTTCTAATTATAAATGGCATACATATATTTTGAGGAAATTTTGGAAAATACAGAAAGTTCAAAACAGTTACTAAAATCACTAGTAATCCCACCAAAGAAAACAACTGTTTTTGGTGTACTATTTATTGTAACACATACACCTTTTTTTACAAGATAAAAGGTGAGAGTGTACAAAAATGTTCATGGTCAATAGTAGTGGAGTGGCTAAATAATACTTCCATAAGCAACAATTCTTTCATATGATAACATAGAACTATTTATTTAGACAGAGTCTCACTCTTTTGCCCTGGGTAGAGTGCCTGGTGTCAGCCAGGCTCACAACTCCTGGCCTCAAGCAACCCTCCTGCCTCAGCCTCTGGACATAGCTGGGACTACAGGTGCACACCACGGGTGCATGGCTAATTTTTTCTGTTTTTAGTAGAAATGGGGTCTTGCTGTTGCTCAGGCTGGCCTTGAGCTCCTGACCTCAAGTGATCTTCCCTCCTCGGCCTCCCAGAGTGCTATGACTACAGACATGAGCCACTGCACCCGGCCAAAATATAACAATTTAAAATAATATTTACAAAGACTTCTAATGACACAGAAAAATATAAGACACCAAAATATGTAAATAGATCTTAATAATGTTAAATAAAATATGGACACTTGTGGATGTGTGTCTAGAAAAAAAGACAAGAGAAACACCAAATGTTATCAGTGGTTATCTTTAGGTTATGGAATTAGGGATGGTTTATAATTTTTTCTTTGTAATTTTGTGTATTTTCCCTTTAAAATTTTTTTCATCATTAGGAAGTGCCACATTGGTAACAGGGAGAACATTTTTTACCTCAGTTTTTAAAGCTTTTTTACATGTATTAATGTTCATGCCTATAACTTTTTTCACAATTATGTTCTAGTGATTTATAGACAACTATAATCAGTGCCACCCTTAACTCACTTGCATATCCACCAATCTTAATTTAAACATGTAGCTGTTCACCCAAGAATATATTTATCTAGGAAGTTTAGCCAGTAAATCCTTCATTTGAGAGGTGGTAGAAATATATTCATTTTTAAAGTTAGCATTGGTCATATTAGAATAACAATAGTTTAAACAATATCTTGGGCTAAATAAACAAGTAACATTAACCATATTGTTATAATCAAAATCATCTAGCAGAACTTCAGAATCTTGCAAAAAAGTAACCACATGTATGATGTGATCTTTCTCCATCAACCTTTCTGTCTGTCTGTCTGTCTCTCTCACACACACACATACTCACACACTCTCTCTCTCTCACACACACACACACAGACTGCACACACATACGCTCCAAAGACTTATCTCTTAAGCAGACTTGGACAGTAAACTAGGGAGCTGGCATTAACTCAAGCCAACAATTTCCCTGCTTTCTGAACATTGTAATAACATCCTGAGCCACAGTCTCCTCTGTATCTGAGAATGTTTCCAGTATTTATCCACATTCTTTGCTGAGTTAACTCTCTTCTGCTGGGCAAGAAGATGAAAGTGAAAAGAGATGGAGGAAATATATATGATGTGAATTTTAATAAGCCAAATATCTTCACCTACCCAAATGATAGGAACAAAACATATCTAGCCTTTCCTTAGCAAATGGGATGAAATAGGTAATGAAGATCCCTTTTTTTTTTTTTTTTGAGACAGAGTCTCGCTTTGTTGCCTAGGCTAGAGTGAGTGCCGTGGCGTCAGCCTAGCTCACAGCAACCTCAAACTCCTGGGCTCAAGCAATCCTTCTGCCTCAGCCTCCCGAGTAGCTGGGACTACAGGCATATGCCACCATGCCCGGCTAATTTTTTCTATATATATTAGTTGGCCAATTAATTTCTTTCTATTTATAGTAGAGACAGGGTCTCGCTCTTGCTCAGGCTGGTTTCGAACTCCTGACCTCGAGCAATCCGCCCGCCTCGGCCTCCCAGAGAGCTAGGATTACAGGCGTGAGCCACCGCGCCCGGCCTGAAGATCCCTTTTGATTTGGACATAACATTTGAAGTAGTCCCAATGAGAACAATTAAAGATTGTTTCCCTACTGCTGTTCAAGGCCTGCATACTACTTAATTACCTTCATGAATGCTCATCAATAAACTATCTGAAGTGAGTAACTAGAACAGTGCCCAAGGCAGCATATGCTTGTTCCAGGGAAGAATAAGGATACACTCAAATATGTGAATATGGACGACAGACAAGCCAGCATACTCACATGCTTGTTTTGTGAGTAATTTGAATTATACATGAGCAAATATTGAGTAAGGTCTCCGTCCATGACAAATAATAGGAATTCATGAGTCAAGAGATACTTTTTTCATAAGATAATTTGATATATCTGTGGTCTATTTGTGGAGAAAGGAGGATACACTGTTCTTGATCATTTTGTTCTGGATTATAATAAATCCGCATTAATATAAACGTGACTAATTTGGAATTTATGGGAATTCCATTGGAGCTGAATTTATCATTGTTCTCTGAAAAGAAAAATTTGCTAAGAAAGTTAGTTGTATAAACAAGAATGCAGAAGAAATCACTAACAATTTACAAAGAATATTTTCTAACTTTTAAAAAACACCCTTGATATCATCAAAGTGTATAATTGCAATGGAAACAAAGGTTTACAAGTCTAGTTAGATTACCTGATAAACAATCATTACCACTCTTTTCTACTCCTGAGCAACACTCTATTAAGCCAAGTTTGTTAATTTATTTGTAAAATATGAAATGGAATTTGTTTGTATAGTATTCTTTTTATCCACAAAAGCAATATAAAGTTAATTCAAAGAACTTAGAAAATAAAAAAAAGCACACAGGAAAAAAACACCCAAAATCCATACTTAAGGATAATAACTTTAACATTTTGAATGATCACTCTCTATTTTTGAATATGTGTTATAGTATCTTTTTAACCAGAAATATATGTTAATACAGCTTGACAAACTTTTCTTCTAACTTAGCAATGTAGCATGAACATTTTCACATGCCAATGCATTTGTTTTACAAGATTTTTAATAGTCCCATGAT